CGGGCCGTTAGTGGGCCCGATGTCCCGTCGGACCATATATGTCCCATGGGCAGGACGGGCCATTCCCAGGCCGAAAGTCACACCAGGCTGAAATGGGCCCATGTCTACATCAGACCTCTAATAGGCCGAAAGTCACTGGGCTGTACTTGAGTCCAAATATTTGGCGAACAATTAACGGGCCAGATCTGGCTTCGAGCCGTAAATGGGCCCAAATATTGAGCGAATAATTAACGGGCCAGATCTGGTTTCGGGCTGTAAATGGGCCTTTATTAAGCAGGCCGTTATTGGGCTGGCCCACTAGTACCTGATTAAGTTCTACGGGCCTTTGACTGGGCCGGCCTTTTTAACCTATATGGGCCTTTGTTGGGCCCAGCCACGTGTCGATGTACCATAGGCATGTCTCTTCCAATGGACGGGCGACATCTGGCCCACTGACGGCCAATCAAAATTTTACAAGTGGAAATTTCCCATTGGTCGGGGCTGTTAACGGGTTATCGGATCCAAAATCCGACCCGATGGCTTAACGGCGTTCCGTTGCGGTGGATGTCACGTGTCGGTCACCCTTGACAAAAGCACTTCTGTGACGCGCGATTTATAGTCATGGAAGTGGACACTTCCGTGATGATAATTTTGGTAATGTCATGGAACACTTCTACGACAGCACATGTATGACTATCTTGATTCTGTCATAAATTTGTCATGGATGTACATGCTTGACAAAAAACGCGACCTACTGTGACAAACACGTATCATCACGGAAGTGTATTTTTTGTATTGTTGATCGACATGATATGGTATGTTATACTTACAAATGCAAATTATCCGATGAAATACATAGTGTACAGTCCAATGATATGGTATGTTGTGTGGAATCTAGTCGATGATATGTTTTAGTGTAGAGTTCGATCACATGCTTATTAGTGTAGAATCTAAGGAACTATTAATAGTGTAGATAATCCATATGTACTTATTTGCGAGGCTATTTATTAATTGATATGTTTATCTTATTCAGAAATTGGCAAAGAGCCTACCTGTGAATTATGGTTTCGAGCCTGATGAAGAAGGCTCAGCTGGACTACGCCTTACTACAAGGGGCTCCGTCGCAACCTGTACTTACCGCGTGGACACGGGCGGTCGCACACACTTAAACTCGGTTGGGTGGAAGAAATTCCTCGATGGCAAGAATCTTCGTGTTGGACAGGCCATCCTAATTACTATCAGGAACACCAACCGCCCAGGCTTGAGGATGATGATTGTCTTTGATATCATCTAGAACTACATATGTGTGTGTGGCTATATCATCTAGACCTACATATGATGATTGTCATCGATATCATCTAGAACTACATATGATGATCGTCGTCGATATCATCTAGAACTACATATGATGATCACCGTCGATATGACCGTGTACTGCTTGAGGATGCATGTTGACTATGCATGAAATTGTTATCTAGTACTCCCTTCGTTCCAAATTACTCGTCGTGGTTTGAACTAAAACCACGACGAGTAATTTGGAACGAAGGGAGTACTACCTAGTACTTATAATGGTTTATGAATTTGATATCTAGTAGTAGTACCTGGTATCTGAAAGGGAAAGAGGGAAAGGGGTACAGGGGAAAATGATGAAAGATATAGCAGTAGCGAGGGACAACAAATCGCTACAACTAACTAATAGTAGCGCGTTCCACAAAAGCGCTGCGGATATCGTCAACAGTACTAGCGCGGGTACGGACCGCGCTACTACTATAAGTTAGCTGTAGCGCCTTATTATTAGCGCGTCTACCCGCGCTACTACTAGGGTTTTCCCTAGTAGTGATGTTGTTGATGCGACTCGCCGATTGCGACGAGTACATGCCGGCGAGCGTCGTCCAAAGCACGCCTGCAGTGGTGACCGTGGTCACCGTAAGGAGCACCTCCTTTGTGAGGTTGCCCAGCAGGTAGCCAAGGACCTGCTAGTCCTTCCTGACCCATATTGGGTGGAGAGGGTTGGGCGTTGAAGTCTCCTTGCCTTCCTTGGTGGTGACGAGGAGCTTTGCCGGCTCCAGCTGGGTGCCGTCGACGTAGCCGAAGACCCCGACGCCACGCGGTTGGGGTATGATCTGCGTGCGCCACAGCACGTAGTTCGTGCGGGATAGCTTCTCGGTGACCTGGCAATTGAGACTAGCCGGGAAGGAAGCGTCGGAGGAGGAAGACATGGTGGCTTTGGCACAGATGGTTCTGGTAGCTAGATGAGTTGAATAAGAGGGGCTCTGATTACCATGTGCGAGCGGTGAAACGTCTTACCCTGTTGGGGGCGACGTGTCCATGTTATATAGTAGGGGAGCCAAAACCCTAGATGGCTTTACATGCGTGCGGTTACAAGAGATAAGAGAGAATCAAGATATACAACTTGAGGGAGAAGAAAAAGGAGAGGAGATATATCTCATACAAACTACCTCCTAGCCATATCTCTATATCCCAACCATATACCGCACATGTGATGTTTAACACCACGAATAATCGGATACATGTTAAAAATTGTGGATTATGGAGTACTAAAAAATGGCCATCTCATCATGGCCGCGACCATACAAGTGAACTGTTCATCTGCTGCGGCTCAAAATGCAGAGAAGAAAATAAGCTGCAACCAAACTTGTCCTCTCTATTTACTGAAACCTGAGCCAGGATCTTTTTACAAGTGCAGTAAGAGTAGTGGTGCTAGTAAAAGAAGCAGAAGATGTTGCGCTACTAAAGCAGCAGCATAAATGGGCAAAACCGGCAAGCTTGATTCCTTTCTGATAGTTCGCTCATGAAATGGGAAAAAGCCTGAAGAAGATTTGCGATTGTTTTCTGATAGAAGAAGCAGAGAACGCTACTCCGGTTAGTCAAGTAGCGGCAGAAATGTGCAAAAATATCAGGCTTGATTCCTTCCGGTGCCCAAGGGGATAAAATTCCTGCTTAGCAAATGCGAAACGAACGCCGCTGATTTTCAAAGCGTCTTGTCATCATTTGAGTTGCATCCATCACTTCCAGATAACACGCTGCACCTCAAAACTGACTGCCTGCTTATTGTCCAAACAATTAATCTTAATCGTCAACACTGACAGACTATTGATTCAACTTAATTTGTGCAGCAGCAGCCTGAAATAATCATCGGAGACATCAAAATTTGAGCCCTGCAAAACAGCAACATTAACTAGCTATTATTTCCTCACTTCTGAATCTTGGAAACAATCGCAAGGCAAAACAAACACAAAAGAGCAGTCTGAAGCCTGAACCCTGCAACCCAATTTCTTTTGCTCACTTCTGAACCCCAAAAACTGTCTGGAAAAATGTGCAGTAAGTAGGCTTCAGGTTCCCAACCCATTCCAAGCTCCAGCAGCGCATGCGTCAACTGTAGTATTAGTGAGTTAAATTAAGGTAAACTACCTTAGCTTCCTCTGCTGCACACTGCAATTCCTTTCGAAATAATCAATCAACAATTTTAGAGTAACAATGTCCTCTGCTGGTGAAATTGTTGATTGATTACTCTGAAATTACGCTGAAATTTCAGAGTAACAATTTCAGACATTTGATGCCAGTTGAGACTTGGGCACTCATAAACCATAAGGCGTTTCAGATAAGGAAAACTCACAAACCGTTCACCTGGCAGGGACAGTAGCTCCCTACAAATTCTGATTTCAATTTCCTCAATAGCAGGCAAATATTCTTGTGTATGCAAGTCATCAAGGGTTGACAATTTATCACAGCATTTTACAGTTAGGACATTAAGGAACGAGAATGCCCAAATGCTACCTCCGATAGATGTAAGAGATTTGCAGCTAATGGCTAACTCCCGTAGAGATGGAAGACTCCACGTTTGTAGTTGGATGGACGTGACAGTCACAGTCTAAATGAAAGTGGGTGAGGGAGCCACAGTCAATATTGCAAAAAAGTCCAGAACCTTGTAGATTGAGCTTCTCTAGGGACTGTGAAACCAATCTTTGGAGGCGGATGTTTGGACAATGCCGTATGTCCAGTTCTTCAAGGAAATGGAAATCCTCAAAATTTTCAGTTGGTACTGATGCTAACATCTTGCACTTTTCAATTCTTATTTTCTTGATGGCTGTTACATAATCTGGATGCCGAAAATGTTCGAGGCTTGATATATTTTCGCACCCATCAATGGTTACGTCTTCCAGGGACATGAAAATATGAACTGCATGCATCTCATTGAACTGTATGCTATGTGAGATCATGGGAGATGATATGCTCTCGAGTCGAAAACAGCCTATGAAAGTAAGTGATTTTATGCTTGGCAGGTTCTGTGGCTGAAACCAGCTTGGGAGTGACACGCCAGCATAATGCCAAATGGACAGAGACTTGAGACTGATAGGAGGTTGCAGAGCTTGAAGCACTTCTATATCATCGTCCCGTCTGATTTGAGACTGAAGCTTAAAGCACCCCACATTTTCAGTTCCAACTCATCAAGATATTTCTTATTCTTGAGTTCAGCTTCTGCTGCATGATCCTTACTTAGGATGCCAACATTATATATCTCCAAGTGTCCACGTAACTGGTTCAGGTTCTTTATTAACCTAATTAATTGTCCCTGCCCTTTGGCTGAATCCAGATGCATATGACGGCCAGCATAATAATATGGTAATCCATGTGATTCGAATTTCTGTAAACTGATCAACTTAGCAAAGTCACTGGGCAAACTTTCAAGCTCAATATTCTTGGTATATACAATCTGCAGATTATATAGACAACAGAAACTTGAAGGAATCCTCTTCAAAGGACAAGCTCTGTAGATTTCAAGGTATCGAAGATGCTTCCAGTTGCCGATACTATCTGGTAACTCATTTGTGAAGGGACAAGAAATCACCCGCATACGAAGAAGTTTAGTACACCATTTGTCCATTACAAATCCTGTGTTGTTTCTTAAGTTCTTCTTGCAAATTAAGGTGCGCAGCTTCGTGTACTTGCATAGTCTTAACAAGTTGGAATCTTCAAAGTCACTACTAGGGAGTACATATAGATGACGAACATTCTGGGGAACTTTATCAAAGTCACTCTTATTTCTTAAAATGAAGCAGTCATCCTCTGAAACCTTTTGTACCATGTCATGCATCAAGTCATGAATTACATATCCACCTACAACATTTTGAAAGAAGGACCGTGTGATAAGCTCTTCAAAATACTGACAACTAATATCTTGAATTGGGACACTACCTTGATGTTCTACAAAGATTTCTGCCACCCAAATCTCAGCTAAACATGCCTTGTTAAATTCGTAATCTTTGGGATACACAGCACAGAATGCAAAGCATTGCTTCAAATAGAATGGCAAATACATGTAGCTCAACCGAAGAGCAGGCAAAATGCCAGTCTCATTTTGTCTCAACTGCCATAGTTCTTTGTGAAGTGTAGAATTCCAGTGTGATGCTTGAAGGTCCGTGCTTAACATGTGTCCCAGAGTTTTGGCGGCCAAAGGAGAGCCCTTCAATTTAGGAAGTATTTTTCTACCAATGCGCTCTACCTCATGATCATTGTTAAAACCCTCAGATCTAAACGCGCATGACTTGAAGAAATTCCATAAGACGTCATCATTTAGACCTTCCAATATGATGGGCTCCATTGTGCCCATCCCCTGGGTAACATTTGTAGATCTAGTGGTGACCAACACCATACTTCTCTCTTGAACACTTCTAAAAGCTGCACAAAACCTCTTCCAACACTGCCCATTTTCCTTCAAGGCATCATCCCACATGTCATCAAGGACTATCAATAACCTTTTGTTTTTTAGTTGTTTTGAAAGAGCATGCTGAAGAGAATCCAAATTATCATTTATTCCCTCCTCTCTAGTACACGATTGTATGACCTCTTTAGTTAGCCTCTTCACATCAAAGTCATCCGAGACACAAATCCAAATTATCGGGTCAAAGTGGGACCTCACTTGTTGATGATTACAGATAAGTTGGGCCAAAGTGGTCTTTCCAACACCTCCAATTCCAGCTATTGCCAAAACAGGAAGACTTGATATTCTCTCATTACTAACATGTTTGCTCGTTGATGCATTGATTGAACTAGCTGCTCTTTTGCGTTTTAAATTTGTGGCTAAATTGAGAAATCCCAATACCTTCTCCAGCTCCTTGTCACGACCAAATATTTTTGTTTCATTTGGAAAAACTTCTCCGGCCTGACTAATTTGTCAAAGTGTTGCGTAAATCCATGAAGCCCCACATTCTCCAACTGACTCGAAAGTTGATTCAACCTCAACTGCACATTATTCAGTTTGTTGAAGCTGCATTGGATGACGGTATGAAAGAAGTCAACGAAAGGAGATTGACTTCCATTTCCCTCCACTTGCACCTTCTTCTCATACCATCTGAACTCATCAAGAAGGTCCTCAGCCTCACACACGGCATCCCTGAGATTCGGAAGGAGATTGGCCACACCATGTTCATGGCTTCTCCACTCTGCTTTATTAATGAGGTCATACATTGCAGGAAGAGTATCTCTGAGACGTTGTAGGCCACTCTCCAACTGCAATACACGATCCTGGAGACTTTGCTCTTGTGAGCCACTCCATCGGGAGTGCAGAGATGAAATGGCAGATTTCGCCCACTGAAAAAATGTGACACATTCATTGAAGGCACTAATGAACCCAATGGCAGATGAGCTCATGGTTGGTTGTTAGAGTCTGGACGCCTATTTTCGTCCTGCAGGCCGATAGTGGACGCAATTAGCACAGGAAGTAAAATTTTCTATACACCAAGTCAGAGATTGCAGTAATTATTTTCTATGGCAGTTGGCCAGTTCGGTTCCACTGTGTTCCCCCCTCTTCGAGAAGGATCGAATACCTCTAGTTTCCTGGTTGGGTGAGTTGGGGATCGATGGAGCATGACATAGAGCACAAGGGTTCTTTTGCAAATGTGAAGTGGGGCTGCCTCCCATGCGTCGAATACAGATCCGATGGTCGAAAATTGTAGATGGCAGGCACACCATCACCACCAACTCAGATTTTTATAGGAGTAGAGAAAAACTTAGAGAAAAGGACTCTTGACCTCTTCTCCACCTCTGCTTTGAAATTATAAAGCATGCTAAAAGTATTTGCCCAGTCACCATATAATTGTTTCATTGCCCTTTGTTTTGCCTTCCACACCGTGTTATACTTCACCTTAATGGGGTATTGCTTTTCCAAGTCTATTTTAAGTTTCTTTGCAGTAGTGTTTGGTTTCTTGGCTAAAATAGGAGTGATCTTTTCTGCAATCCAAAGCTGTGATGACATGGTTGATACTCTCTGTGAACTTGTAATACAAGTATGTTGGTGTGGGATTTGATTCACTCTAATGGTACTTCCATCAGGTTGGCGTCTAGCAGATATGTACCACTTGAAAGGCTTTACACTTCCATCAAAACGTCTACAACTTGCATAAAACTTCTTTCTACCAGTCCACTTAATCTTGGCATCAAACTCATGTTTGACTGTATAAGTCTTGAAACACATCCTAAACTCATCCATGTTTGGGAACAACTTCCCCACTGTAATAACAGGGGTTTCCTTGTCATACACACTTACCAACTCATCATCATGTGCATCATCTACATTATTTGCAGCATTTTCCATCAGTTGTCTATCCACATCCTCAGTTCTATCTCTATTAGCATCAGAATCAGTAGGCATACTAGATTCACCATCCTTCTCCTCCTTATCTTCATTAGCTACTGGAATGCCAAAAAAGGCCATCTCAGTGTCATCCATTGGTGCAATGACTAAATCAGTTGGGTCATTTAATTCTACAAAATTCCAATCAACGGAAACAACCCTTGCAACACCATCAGAGCCCTCTTCAGCATCACCCTCCTCAGGTAATACTATCACTTCACCTGTACAATTGGGCATTATCTGCCTCTCTAAAGCCCAATCATCATCTACCATCTGTGAAGCTAACTTTGAGGGCACATATCCAACCTTAGAATCTGATTTTAGATCAACATGCCCTGCATGAAACATAGTCTGTTTGGTTGTCCAGCCATCTTGTCGATCGATTTCATCAACCATCTCTTCACCATCCTCAATTCTCACATACTCCCCCTTCCAATTATCAAACCGTAACAATGCTACCTCTTGCTCTGGACCCTAAATATGCTTTCCCCAAATTTTTCCACCACATTCTTCACGGCCTTCTCTTCCATGCTCTGTAGTTTACAAAATCAATCTCCCACTTCACAATTGTATCTCTCTCTATTTCCCTCATGCTACCATCACCTAGCTTCACCTTAGAAGGAGGGAATTCCATAGTGAATTCTAATGTTCGAGCACCATCCCCCTGTTTGTCAATGGCGGGGCAGTGTGAGGTGATCTAGCGGAAGCAGACGAGGCACAAATCGATGCACATGAAGGGATTACCTAGCCGATGTTGTTGTCTCTGGCGGCTCCATCGCGGTCAGCCCCCCTCCCACCCACCCAAATCTGGATCAAATCGACCAAAAACACCAAAAACAGAGGGAAACAGAGGCGATGCAGTGAGATCTAGCTCGACACGCAGGGGAAGGGGGGGGAACAGGACAGGGTTCCGAATTCACTTACCACAGCCGCCGCTGTCGCCGAGAACGAAAGCTCCGCGCTGCTATCACCGAGAACAAAATCTCCGCCGCCGTCGCCGGCTCACCGCCAAGAACGAAGAGGGGGTGGGATTCAGACAGGGGTACACGTTCAGAGGGACACGTTTCACCTGATGCACTGCCAAGTGGGGCCCGTAACTAGATGCACTGCCATGTGGGACGCACATGTCTTAAACATAATCTCACTCCCGTTGACGACCAGTTTAATTGTCTGAGTAGGCCTTGGCTATTTGGGCTTCCGAAACATAGCACCAGAGCTATTTTCCTCAACTACGTCGCACTCGTTCCATTGCACCTCAAAGATGTCACACAGGAGCTATTGACCCAATCACAATTCCTTCTGAAATAAATTGTTCTCCTGAAAAACATGTGTACCTTTCCATAGCCTCCAGCCGTCAGTCTTAAAACGGCCATCTCATCATCGTCATGGCGACCATACAAGTAATATACAGTTCCCAAGTTGCAGCTCGAGAGGCAGAACAGTTAACTAGTCGCAAACTAAACAGTTCTCTTTACTTACTGAGAGTTAAGCTAGCGCTAGTTTTGGGCTGAGCACCCCGTGTCTTGTGCTCTGGTCATCTTTTTCACGTCGGCTCACACACGTGTCATCGTTATATCCGCACCCAGTACTTTCTTCACTCTTCTGTCAGTGAAATGATACAGAAGCATTGCATATTCTCGAAACAAAGAAACCTCATAAGGGCAGTAAGAGTGGCGCTCTGCTGGTAAGAAAAAGAGTATGCTACTCCAGTGGCAACAGAAATGGGCAAAAACACCAACCTTGACTCCTTTGAATGGTCAAGGGGATTAAATTCTTGCTTACTGGGGAAACAATTTGTCCAGTAGAAAATCTAGACAAGACGTGCATTACCAGCCAAATTTGGTGGCGTCTTCTTCAAATGAACCGTGTTATGTCTGCAGGTGATATGTCTTACAAATGCACTGTGAGTGCAGCATGAGTAGTGCTCTGCTGGTGAAAAAAAGAAGATGATTATGCTCCAGCAGCAACAGAAATGGGCAAAAACGACAACTTGATTTTGTTCAATAATCAAAGGAATCAAATGCTTGCCACCAGTTTGCCAACAGTAATGTAATGTACCCACTCAAGACCCTACCCCTCAGATCTGCCTGTTCATTAAAATTGTTCAAACTAACCATTCATTAAAATTGTTCAAACTAACGTTGATCATCAACAGGCAGGCAAATGCAGTGTGTGGTAGGTAAACATATTCCAGAGTTGGTTTATTATGCATGCTATAACTTGGTTGCAGTTTGAATTAATCACAAGACAAAACAAACACCAAATTAATACTAGTCTGAATCCTGTAAACTATTTTTCTTTCGTACTTCTGAAGCCCCATTGTCTTGAAAAAATGACACCCAAGCATTAGCACCACATGCATGTAGTGTATTACTAAGCTAAAATGTGCACTAGTACCTTAATTAACTAAGCCCTGCTGCACACTGTAATATTCATTGGTTGCAATCATCATACCATAATCATTACAATTATTGATATCTAGCAGAAATTAAACTTGATTATCCAGATAGAA